ATGTGGGGCTTGATCCTGGGATCACGGCGTGAACTGAAGGCAGATGCTTAACCAACTGAGCCACCCAGGCATCCCTCTAAGGTGTCTTTTGATGAATACAAGTTCCCAGTTTTCATAAAGTCAGGTATATCTAAAAAAAAAAAAAAAATTGAAGACTAGGCGGAAAAGCCCTAGGGTTTGGGGCTCTGTAATAAAGTGCTGCTCAATAGTCATGATTGGACCACATTTGGGACTGAGTTTCCTGGTGGCAAAGGGGAAAAAAGAAACATAATTTTTGTTTTTCACCTGAGCTTGTCATTGTTTATGCACTTATTAGTTCATTCAACCAATGTATATCAGCCCCTGTTTTTTTCTACCTCAGTTCCATAGGGGAGACCAACTGGAACCTAAAGAATTATTCCTTGTGGTATTCTGTGGGGCCTTACGAGACACAGGAGTGACTTTGTCTTGATGGCTGGGTGCACATACAGCTCTAGGGTCCTGTGTCTTCCCTTCCTAGCAGCGAAGATGAGGGAGAGATGGAGAAAAATGGAGCCAGAAAAAAAGAAGAAAAAAAACAAGGAAAACTGGAGCCAGAGAGTCGGAGTGGCTACCCCATGTCCAATCTGGCCTGGGCACTTGGAGCACTTGTGTCCTTCTCACTATTGGATGTGTGATGGTGGTTAAGAGGGGAAGTGGGGCTGGAGGCTGCCTTCCCGTGGAAGTCCCTTGCTCCCCATCCCCAGAAAGGTCTGGTTGTACTGCTGCCAGGGATGATCTGGGGAAGATGACCTACTTGACCATGTGCATCAAGGAGAGCTTCCGCCTCTACCCACCCGTGCCCCAGGTGTACCGCCAGCTCAGCAAGCCTGTCAACTTTGTGGATGGCCGCTCCCTACCAGCAGGTGAGTTGGAGTGGATTTGGGGGTGGAACTGGAGTCCTTGTGGATGTTTCTCTGATAGTCTCTGTGCCGTTGGTCAAATCTTTGCACCAGTGGGGAAGAGCTCAGGCTTTGTATTTGGCCTGGGTCCAAATCCTGGTTCTACAATGGATGGGTAAATCCTTCTACCTCGAGCCTCTGTTTCCTCTTTTGTAAAATGGGGGCAAGAAGAGTATTTGCCTGACAAGGTTGTTGTCAGGATTAAAGAGACAGTATTTATCAGGGCTGTCACGTATCACCATGTAGGTTGTGCCCGGAACAACTTCCAGAGGCACCATTCACATAGACTATGATGATGTGTGGTACACAACCTATACAACTATATGTAGTAGCTTTGTAAGGCGTGTTTAACTCTGTATCTGGCACACAACACGCACCCAGTGAACGGTAGATGTATATGTTACTATTAATAGCATAATGTCATGAACAGTAACTTCCTTCAATTATTTGAAAGCACAAAGTGTTGTAATAGACTTTGCCTGTCCTACCTCACAGTGAGGTAGGTTCAGTCCTCCCTTTTTTCTCTCACCATTCCACAAATGTCTGTGTTAGGTGCTGTGTCCAGTGCTGGGGCTAGAGGAAGTAGATATGATGATCATCAAAAGCACTTTGATGTCATGAGGGTGGTCATGAACCCTCAATCTCGGGCAAGGCTCAGGCAGGGGCTGGTGCCCAGTTAGGAGGACGCTAGGGATTCTGGCCCTGGGATGAGGTGGGTGAGGCTATCTCAGGACCACCTAGCTACCAGGCCTTTGCTCTGCCCACAGGCAGCCTGATCTCTCTGCACATCTATGCCCTCCATAGGAACAGCGCAGTGTGGCCTGACCCTGAGGTACCACATCCCTGGGCCTGGAGGTCAGATGGGGTGGGAGGCTACGGAGATCACCCTCCCCAGGGCCTGGCAGATATTTAAGCAAGGCTTGTCCTCTCAGGTCTTTGACCCTCTACGCTTTTCCCCCGAGAATGTGGCCACACGCCACCCCTTCGCCTTCATGCCCTTCTCTGCTGGGCCCAGGTAAGGAGAGGCCCAACATCCCCAGGCCCCCAGGACTGGGGAGGGGAGAATGGAGGATGTTGTGGGGAAAGGTAAGGGGGCTGCCACTGGGTTTTTGATGATCCTAAAGTGAGGTAAGTTCCAGGGATCTTCTTCTTGCCATTAGCATATTCATGTCCCTGGCAGATGGTGGGCTGGCTGAGTCATTCCAAGAGAGGCCCCCCAACCGGAATTCCCAATGTGAATCTACTCAGTCTGGGACCCTCACTGTGCTCCCCAGATCTGTTTCCTAAGTCCCAGCTCAATTAACCGATCAGCTAATTATTCATCCACAAACAGTTATTGGTTTTTGTTGGCCACTAAGAACCCTGGATTTGCTCACTCTGGACACCCCATAGCCTGATACCACCTTGTGCTACTCACGGTAGGAACTGCATTGGGCAGCAGTTTGCCATGAATGAGGTGAAGGTGGTCACGGTCCTCTGCTTGCTCCGCTTTGAGTTCGCCCTGGACCCCTTGCGGCCCCCCATCAAGATGCCCCAGCTGATCCTGCGCTCCAAGAACGGCATCCACCTCCGCCTGAAATCGCTGCGCCCAGGCTCTGGGAAGTAGCTCTGCAGAGAATAGGGTCCCAGACACCCAGACACTGCCCTCCCAAG